GAAGTCCTCCACCACCCACGAAATTCTCCAGACATGACACGATCAGATTACCATCTTTTTCATTCGCTGCAACACCATTTTAATAGGAAAACGTATGCAAATGTGGAAGATGTTAAAGAGGACATCAACATGTTTTTTGCTTCAAAGCCATGTGATTTCTTTAATCAGGGCATTAACAACCTGATTGTAAGATAGAAAAGGACCATCGATAAGAATGGAGACTATTTCATTTAATAAATGTTTGTTTTGATATACAAGTTGTTCGGTTTTTACATCTAAAAAAAGCGACATTAATTTCTTGACGACCTAATATTATAAAAACACTGAAAAATGGTTCGACGTAGGAGTGTTTAGCTTTACCTTTAATCGATTGTAAACAAAGAATTTTTGGAGGGGACTTGTAATATAAAATAGACTACAAAAAGTATTTTGTCGTTTCGTTACTAGGCTCCTAATAAACATATTTGTTTCCGCAAACGAATAGCATGTTATAATAAATAATCGAACATACGAAACTGGTTAACAAAATGTAAAACAAAGTCGTCGAGGTGTAAAATACAGAACTGAAAATAATGTCCGTAAAGCTAATTATGTTACAAGTTTATATCTGCAAACAAACAAATTGTTAACAATCAAATCCTTTCGCGCGTTTGTGGGTATAAAAAAGATAAAACGTACATGATGAAACATACATTCACAGCAGTTGTATTTTTAAAACTAAGTCGAAAGGTAATTGGAAATAAAGACATTTCCCATTTAACTTTCGACTTCCTTTTAAAAACACAACTGCTTTCGACAAACCAATAACTAAAACTGAAATAGAAACATCTAGTGACATATTCAAAGATTTCCTTTCTAATCAACTATTTCTCGAACAAATAAAGTCTACCGGTGGGTCACTGGTAACTTTACGGACTTGTAACGTTAAAATCCAGAGTTCTATTCTCCGAGCTGAAATGAGTGCAGATAGCTTTGCACTAAGAAAACAGCCCCCCAGTGGTATGTCTGTGGACTTACAACACTAGAAACCGTAGCTTTGTGCTTAACTTTAAACAACAAACTAAAAAGGAAACATATAGACCGACCATAATGCGCTGAATAAGGAATGTGGGACTTTAAGAGTAAAAATACTCAAAGCCTTTTAGCAGCTTGAACGGGAAACATGTACACAAAATGATACAAAATGGATGAACAGTAATCATGAACCTTTCCACCAGAGAAATACACAAAAGGTCACTATCATTTACAAAACACTTACCAGTGCTTGTAAACTTAATGTATATTTCATTCAATACAGTCAAGATTCAAAACTGAACACATTTACAGTTTGAAAACCCGTAAAAAATGTCATTCTTCCCACGAAATCCGACACACTGATTACGCAGCCTCTAGTTTCTGCAAATGTGAAATTCTCGTCAAAAACACATTTAGAATTTGAAAACCCGTAAAAAATGTCATTTTACCCACGAAATCCGACACAATGATTACACAGCCCCTAGTTTCTGCAAATGTGAAATTCTCGTCAAAAACACATTTAAAATTTGAAAACCCGTAAAAAATGTCATTCTTCCCACGAAATCCGACATACTGATTACGCAGCCCCTAGTTTCTGCAAATGTGAAATTCTCGTCAAAAACACATTTAAAATTTGAAAACCCGTAAAAAATGTCATTCTTCCCACGAAATCCGACATACTGATTACGCAACCCCTAGTTTCTGCAAATGTGAAATTCTCGTCAAAAACACATTTAAAATTTGAAAACCCGTAAAAAATGTCATTCTATCCACGAAATCCGACACACTGATAACACAGCCCCTAGTTTTTGCAAATGTGAAATTCTCGTGAAAAACACATTTACAATTTGAAAACCCGTAAAAAACGTCATTCTTCACACGAAATCCGACACACTGATTACACAGCCCCTAGTTTCTGCAAATGTGAAATTCTCTCAAACTGTACAGTTTTCTACGGAAGAAATGTCAAATCAAATGTTAATTATGAGTTCGTGGTCAAATGCAGTTTCTTTTATGAGTGTAAGTTTGTTTTGGGAAAAAAGGCTTGAAATTAAAAACAAATTAAATCAATTAACTTATTAGTCAAATATCTTGAAAGCTTCTCCACCGATATGTATGGAACAAAATTTTTATTGCTGTAAAATAACTTTCTAAAATCAACTAAATCATTCACAACCGCGTATCCCAGTTGTCCCCTAAACAACATATGAGTTATAACTATAAGCGACCAATCAAAGCTCATGTTTTTCCTTTCTGTGTCGACTTAGAAAAGGTGTCGCTCTTAATATAAAATTAACAGTACAAACTGGTGAAGCACAACCTTTCTTTTTTGCTTGTTTACTGCAACATTTCATTAATTACGGCGTTTTTATGGATTAGGTTCAAAGCATTTGGGAATATAGATAATCGATATGCAAATACTGATATACGAATGTTTTTTTATACAATATATACAACTGTATACCTGCAGAATGGGTTATTTGTGCTGTGCCTAATATAGGGGGCGAACCACGAATTTGTTTTTTTTATAAGCCTTCTATCTTACCACCTAGGTACCGAGGGGTGAAATATGTAGAACAATATAAATACGTCGAATAAAGAAAGTGGTAGAAAAAAACCCATGTAATTTACAGAACTCATATGACATTAACAATATAAATACGTCGAATAAAGAAAGTGGTAGAAAAAAACCCATGTAATTTACAGAACTCATATGACATTAACATACAGATACAGAAAGTTAACGATGATAACTGAAACATACTATGGAACGCAAAAACAAACTTGTTTGTCAGTAAGGGACAAAGATTAGTATGTTACTAACAATCGAAGATAGTTAGAACTGCCGAATCTGATTCACTTATCCGTATCTTTTGCCACATTGTAGAGTAAAAAAGGACTTGTACATCAAATCTTTTGAGAAATCATTCAGAGATAACTTACTTCATCCATATAAACGCTGTAACTTTATATTTTTTCTGCACGTCTGAAATACGTGAACAATACAATATGACAAACAAAATCTTAAATAAAACTCGAAATATAGAATATTTATGTTCATTGAAACGCACCAAAGCGTATGCTTCTCTAAAGAAACGTTCCAGACGTTTCTGTCGTTTCTCTTTGGTTTCGGCATTGGTTAACATCGTATCTCTGTATGTGAAGACTGTCTCCAAAGTCTTCTTGTGATTTTGCATAAAAGATTCTAATTTCCCCACGAACTTTTTCCTTAACTGTTCGTTGTCAAACTGCAACACCTATAAAATGTTTCAAAAAGAGAAAAGGTATTTTTACAGCATATATGATTTAAGTGATTAGATATAAATATACTTTATATATTTAATTTGCTCGTCAAATGTATATATATTTTTTTTTTCTTTAGATCAACGATACACTATGTACATACAAGCTGATATGAGAATGTGTGGAAAATGAAGAGCAGTCTAAATTATTCTCCAACATATTCTACAACACTAATTATACATCTCATGATGTTATAGCTTAAGGACGTTAACAATCAATGAATTTCACTAGCAAGATAATTAAGCTATAAATATATTGGCAATTGTCTTGTAATTCACTTCTGAGGATGATGTTGTAACGTCGAAACATTTAGAGTCGCCAATTTTTTGAAGGCCATAGATAGGCCTAAATAAAATGTTTTTAATTGTGTTCCAGTTTAACGTTAAATATTATTTATGATTTTAACTTTATATACAAGTGCCAAAATATTATATTTTATGCTTCATAAATGTAATATTACACGCAATAAAATATCTAAGATGATAATGCAATTTTAAATAATACAATATTTAAATATTTTCTACTTTATTTTAATCTATAATTGTTTAGTGAAGGAACGTCGTTAGTTGTTCATTGTTAATCTTAATATAAACACTTAAACTAAAAAGCAACAGTCACCGCTTTCTTACCAAATCATGATCGCGTGGAGATCGAATGAGAATCATTGGTTTCTTGTGAGTTTCCTGGGTAATTTCCACGACCAAAGAACTAACGTTTTTAAACTCCAGTTTTCGCATTACCTCTCCCTTCCGGTTGATTGTGTAAACGGCTTCATCGGGTCCAATCTTGACTTTCACCAATCGTTTATGATTTTGATGTAACCATTCTTTTACGTCTGAAATACCACATGTTGAGCGAGCATTTAAGTGATTTTAGAAACAATAGTTTTCATTTACTAAAACTAAACCAATTCTGCTATTTATTCGTAATTAAGCATAAAGCTACACGATGGGCTATCTGTGCTCTGCCCACCACGGGTATCGAAACCCGGTTTCTAGCGTTGTAATTCCGTAGACATACCGCTGTGCCACTAGGGGGCTCTGCTATTTATGCCAGTTACTAATTATTAGTATGAACTTCCGAGCGATAGTAAAGAAAAATGTTTAATAATACTTCTTCCATACTATATCTACTTCCGACGATGCCTTTCGCGAAATACCAGGGCTGATTAGGCTGACTGGGATTCGACAGATATAGTAATGGTTCAGACGCTATTTATAATAGAAATCTGCTTGACAACAACTGTTGTGGTACGAACTTGATTAAGTTGGTAAAGTGTAATTTGTAGAGGAATTTTATAGAGCTAGAACGAAATATAAAAAGTAATATATATTCAGCGTAACTATTCAAAATGGTTTTAAAATGAAATACAAATATGACTTTATGTTCAATGTGATATGTTGGAAATGCTATGCGTAAAGATCATTAAAATTATTTAAACAAAATCTTAATAGGACCAGTTATTTATGGTCGCGTGGAGATCGAATGAGAATCATTGGTTTCTTGTGAGTTTCCTGGGTAATTTCCACGACACCCAGTTACAGAAAATATTTAGTTAATAAAGAATCTTAACTTATTTCAGTTAAGATGGAGGCATTTATACTATAATTTTTCATTGCAGCGCCCAATACGATAGAGTGAGCAGGCAACATATCAGTTTATCCTACGTATATCACGGTATCCATTTGAAACAAACCCTATAACTATTTAATGAACTGGGTACTCCATTCTATAGGATGGGTGTCGATGTAGGACTATAACAGACCACAACAGATTTGGATGATTTGCACATATCTAGTAACAAATATGGTGGATCGATTTGAACCGTTACATCCCTACCACGTCATAATTCCCAAGACTGCAGCCACCGACATGTGTGGGTCTATGTGTTAATCACATAATATATTCTGTGTATAACCGTTATATCCCTACCACGTCATAATTCCCAGGTCTGCGGCCACCATCACGTGCGAGTCTATGTATTAATAACAGTATATTTTCTATGTTAATTACTTTAGAATTAGTTACAGAAAATATTTAGTTAAAAAAGAATCTTAACTTATTTCAGTTAAGATGGAGGCATTTATGCTATAATTTTTCATTGCAGCGCCCAGTACGATAGAGTGAGCAGGCAACATATCAGTTTATCCTACGTATATCACGGTATCCATTTGAAACAAACCCTATAACTATTTAATGAACTGGGTACTCGGAGAATGTCGCAATACTGTCATTTAAAGTTGGCTGCGTCACTCTCGTCTTTTTAAGATACTGTAATCCATTTTATACCCTTAGTGACACCATTCTATGAATCGTTCATTCAGACTTTTTATGTTGTTATCAACTAGAATACATATAAATAAAAACGCGCAAAATGAAGTTAAACAGAACCGACAAGCAAGTGATTTTGGCAAAGATATATGCTGTAAATTAAAATTAATGCATTAGAATTACTTACGTAGTTTCTCGAAGTTTTTGTTCGTGGTATCGTCATTCATGGTTTTTATTTTCCTTCTCTTTCGGTTCTGAAGTTTAATAACGCCGTAACCGATACCAGCACAAACTGGAGAAAAAAAATACATCAAAATATACAAAAATTTGCAAACGCCTTAGACCAAATGATACGGGATCACTACATTGAATTACAAATATGTACGATAACGAACTTATACAGCAGTCTTTGTGGTGTGAACGCTCAAGAGAAAGTTAAACTTTTTATTTTCAGGATATGGACTTTGTTCACGAGCTAGAGTTACCAGATAAGCTGGGAGTAGTAATCCATAGCGTAAAGATGGGTAGATATTTTCGTATTTGTTTTTCTGCTTTTTTGTAACTGCCATAAGGTCCAATACAAAGTTTCTGTCTTTTGATCAAGAACAATGAATTATTTGTTTGTTTTTTGTATTATAGTAACAACAATAAAGTCAACATACATGTTGTAGAAATGAATAATAATGGTTCCAAGTACAAGACACTTATAATCAATTGAAAAGTTACACATAATCTTGTAATGAACAATGTAGAAATAAATTTCATTTCTTAAAGTACTGGCCAGAACACATTTAGCTGGATTAGACCTCATTCCTTCTCAAAATTGTGAACACCATAGTGTACTGCTATGTACGGTTTAATAAAGGTCAGCAGGTATCACAGATGGCCATTTAGAGTCATGACGCCACAAGAAAAGAAACCGGTAGGCCTTCAAAGAGGTGATACGAATGTCTGAAACATTTCACCCCACCTACTCATACCCAAATCTACTGTTAATATGTGCTAAAAAAGAAACATTGCTGGACACACTAAGATGGAGTATGATGACATGAATTCCTACAGTTAATCACTCCTCAGTCCATACCAGTGTTGAAAAATGTTATGAAATGAAACCACCCTTTACATGAATTTTGCTACTCGGGGCATTGAAATACATTTTGAAATGCAAGCCAGAACATTTAATTTACGCAGGGAATTCCATTCTGCTGGATTTCACGGAGTCTATGAGCCGCTTATCACAGCCGTGAATGCGAAGCGTTGCCTCTCATGGCGTCGAAAGAGTGAAACTGAGAGGAATAAAATTGGAAGATCATCACGTGGAGTAATGAAATCTTGATACTAATTTATGCTCCAGTTAGATGGGTTTAGTGTTACAGCAACCTAGCTTTTGTCTCCTGTTGGGAAAGCTGTAAATTTACCCACTAACAACGCTAAAATCGGGGCTTGATTCCCAGCGGTGGACACAGCAGATAGCCCAATATGGCTTTGCGCTAAAACAATATATGTAAACAAAGCAATCTGCTTAACGCTTTGAATATGACTATGTTATTCAAACCACAAAGACTAGTGGAATAATATTACCGTGTGTCTGCTTTAGCTGATTCTAGTGGTATTTAAGGAAACCAGGAATGACTGCTGTATTTTGGCGTTGTGGACAACTTGAATTGATATACTTCTATGTGGTATTTAAGGAAACCAGGAATGACTGCTGTATTTTGGCGTTGTGGACAGCTTGAATTGATATACTTCTATGGAGAAGGACCTTAATTATTTCAGTATGATAATCACCCAACTATGCTGCTCGCTGTACCTAGCAGTGGCTTAAGACAAATAATTTCCAGAATCTGTCTTGGCCAGCCTAGAGCCATGGCCTAATTTTATACGTACTACTATGGAACGTTTGGGAACGTCATTTTAAGTACAAAAATAACAGACTCTGAAATTTTCGCTAAACTTGGAGCTGTCTGACAAACATTTTGGCAGTGTATTCCAACAAATGCATAATAACGATTGATGGGTCTACATCTTACTTAAATGGCTGTCTGGGTATCTTTGTTAAAGCAATGTGTATTTATTATTTTTCAAAGAAAATATCTGATCTCATTATAAATGAAAGGTTTCATTATTATTAACAACTGTTTAAAAAAATTTAACACTCGTTCTAATGAATATTTGTGTAAAATGCTAACCAGTTTTTATGGGCCGGCCCTTTCAAAAGTTTGCACCTATTTCATTTATGATTTTGTGATGAAATTATGCAATAATAATTACTAAACATAAACTATTTTTAACACAAAATTAATCAATTTAAAAATAAATTTTGTTTGTTAAGTAACTTATTGCTGAATCAGCGATGTGTGGGGGGGGGGCATAAAAATTAAGATTGGCTGGTTCTTTAAAATCTCTTAATTTTCAACGCCAAAATTAAAACATTTGTAATTTGAAAAACATCCTTTACTCAACAACAATAAAATAAATTGTCTTTGTAATTTCACGAAACTTTTTAAAGGCATCATTGACATTGCTCGAGAGAATGAGTTTGAATCCATTAATGTAAAAATTAGTAATAACATAAATTAAATAATAATATGATCTATTGCTTCTTCAAGAAAAGTTGGCACACGTTTCATAACATTCACTAGTAAATCAACCAATTAAACAAAATTACACTGACATAACACAGAGATTAATAACTATATTACTCACTAATTGGTATAAATGCAAGCGTAAGACACGAATAAATGTAAGCAACTTCGTTGCCATGGAAATAGTCGTAACCATCCAAGATGATGCAAGGTTCCAAGAAAGAACTATTTAATTGAATTGGCTGCTGACAAGGGTCGCCTAATACAGAAAACAGTTAAAAAGATCACTGTAAAATCATTCACAAATTTTCTAAAAAGTTGTAAGTAACCATTCACATAACAAATCGAAGTCCTACTAAAACATCCCCACCCTCATCCCTAAGCACATAATAAAGAAATATAATCCTCTACTCACATAGTAAAAGTGACTTTGTATAAATATATACGATAAAATAATGTTTGAGGTACGTTTAACTTTCATTAAGCTGTTAACTAATATATTTTGGTAGTAAAACCAACCTTGTTTCCACTTAAACACGTCTTCTTGAACTTGACCAGGCTGAATATTTGTAGCGTTGACCAGAATATCATAAAGCCGGATTCCTTGAATTTTCTGGATTTCATCCGGTGTAAATATTCTTAAAACACGAAAAAATAGCGTAAATATGAGAAAGCATACAAGTTAAATACTACTCAGGCGGTTAATAGCCTTAATGGTAAGCCAGTTCGATTTGTGAAGTAACTTGCCATATGTCTAAGTTGTATTAAACATCTTTCCACGAATACTAAAATTCTAACAATTCATAAGCGAATATATCCCTCGATATTTCATAAGTAACCATCGTGAATGATCAATAAATAAGGCATGAACTAGGTGTGTTCTGTTTCAGGAGTAAATAAAATCAAAATTAAGAATAACAAATATTTTTATTTCTTGCTTTTGAAGTTCATATGTCATGCTGTGTTGTATCCTATAGTGTGTATAATTCTTCTCGTGATTCATGGCATGTGCACATTTTACTGACGTCACGACAGTACAAATTGCAACGCTTAGCGTCCCTTATGTGACGTCATTTTAGTGCCTACTGGCTGACTGACAGACAACACACTACTGTATAGAGGTGCGAGTAGATAAAACAGGTGAACCCTCCATTATCGCCTTCGGCCCCCCTTTCGGAGAAATAAGTATGCTAATTAATTATTATATTTTATATTCATAACTATAATATTATGCGCAACTGATTTTAATTTCGACGTACAAAAATGAGAGGCTGGGAATACAAGTTTAATGATATTAAAAATAATTTGGTGTTTTGGTTCATCAAAAGATGGCAGCACAAATTTCAGATTTATCTATGTCTACAGAAATAAAAACTTATAACTGCCTGTTGTAGAAACACAAATGTAGAGGACGACGTTTCGAAAGTATTCCGTCTTCATTTCCTTAAAAAGGTTTTTGATGTAGTTGTTGATCTTTTTGATAGAAGCTGGTGCACAACAGCTCTTTATGTATTCTGAAGACGAAAGGCGGAAGACTTTCGAAACGTCGTCCTCTACATTTGTGTTTCAACAACAGTTTGGTTGCCATACATTCAACCAAATTTCATCATGAATACTCTACCTAAACAATCTATCAAAAGAATATTTACTTGTACTTGTGAATTTGCGCACATCTAAAGGAATTAAACAATTAAGATCACTAACTACGTAACCCTTTATAAATCTCGTTCAAAATTCATGATTTTTTTATGTACATCAAAATGAGTATGTTAAATTATAAGCTCTGACTCAGTTAAAGTTGCTCTTATATTCCACTTTACCTACTGCTTATTATCTTTTGTTATATGTTAAGTTTACTGATGTTTCAGGTAGGTTGCAAATAAACTCACGTCTTAAACCTTATTCTATATTGTGCTATACATAAATTCGTAGAATATTCCAAGTACCGTACCCGTTTCTATTGTTTTCGAACCAGAATCGATCTGCATCACGAATTTTTTCAAATTCTTGCTTGATAATCTTTTTGAACAGTGGTCCAGGTTTTCCTTCTTTTGTCTCCAACATTCCACCTACAAACAAATCGATGTTGTCGATATCGCCATACAGTTCTTCTATCTTTTTAAACAGCTAAATAGAAACAAAAGTTTCACAGAAACTTCACGTGATATGTTATAAATACAGATACAAAAAATATTAATTAAAAATCAAGCTATGTGGTTTTTTTTATAATAAGTCAAAGCGCAATTTGATAAAATTATGTTGGTATGTTATGCATCTTTTTAACAACATATGTTTATACAATATTATTGGGTAGCACTGAAAAAGGTTGCCAAAGTTGCAAAAATTTTATACCAATTAAATACGTGCTAATATTCTATAATACGTAGACGTGGGAAGCGGAAGACCCCCCTCCTCCCCAGGTCTAAAAGGAAGCTAAATCACTCCAAGTTTTGATGTAAAATCATATTTCAGGTTAGAAAACAAATAAGGAAAAAACAGTTTGGGCATGAAAAGGTCATCATTTGACACTCACTCGTAAATTTCAGAATACAGTATTGGTTCTCTCTACATATAATTTAACATTTGATTTAGGGTGAATCCGTGTGAAGCAACAGCATACGTTTCGGCTTGACACCACAGTAGTGTATAGTCTTGTTAAAAATAACGCGTTTCGGTTTGACATCACAGTGATGTACAATTTTATTGTAAAACAACATACATTTCAGCTTGACACCACAGTGATGTATAGTCTTATATAAAATAATACGTTTCGGTCTGACATCACACTGGTGTATAGATTCATCAAGAAACAAAACTTTACGGTTAAATATTGTCTCCAATTTTGCAACCTGGTGGATGAAGAACTTTATAACATAATTATGGCTAACATAAAATAGTTAGTTTCTATATTAAGAAACTATAGGACATTTTTTCACGAACGTAATTTTCTTTCTTTCTGTAAGCTTTCATCTTTCTTACTGTTGCCTTCAACAGGCGAAAATTTAGTGTTTAAATAGCGAATATTGCTTAAAACCGTATATTTAAATGAATACAAAGCGTGTAACCTAGCAACAACAATAAGGTAGACACCACTGTTGCTGCCAGATTATACTTTGAACTTACTGTAATGTGTGTTTTTAAACAATATACTCTATTTGTAACATTAACATTTTACACGTTGAAGGTCTAGCAAAAGAGCTAACAGCCTGCAGAAATAAAAGAAAATTATGCTAATGGGGAATGTTGTTTGTTATTCAGCACAAAGCTACACAAAGGGCTATATGTGCTCTGCTCACCACGGTATCGAAACCCGGTTTTTTGCGTTGCAAGTCCGTAGACATACCGCTATGCCACTGGATAGTATAATGGAAAATGCCCTAGACGTTCTTAATATTGAATTAACCTCTTTAAATGAATTTGAAATCACGTATAGTTCGTTTACGTTGAATCGGGTTGGTGCCTTCCAAACTTCCAAGGTGAGTAATTGATCCACCTATAACTTATTCCATTAATGGTATTATGTCATTTTATGTGTCTCGTCTGTATTTAGGTAATAGCAGAAAATTGCTAAGGTATTTCCTTATATTTTTTGCCCCCCCCCCCTCACACACAATTACTCACTCATTCTGCACTCGGTTCTTAAACAAACTCCTCCAGTCAAAACCTGTTTCTACGACATTGCAATAACGATTAACAAATTTATTTGCATAGCACACTTTTAAAAAAAAAACACCTTACGGCGATAACATTAAATAAATTATTTGCATTCAACGGAAAAACGATCTCTTCTATCAGATAGTCAAAAGAAAAAGAAAAAAAAGAGCCAGAAGTCAAAAATATCGCGACAGCATGAACACAACTCGACAAAGGTTAACAAAAGTTAGTAGGCCTAACTTTCCTGAGAATACAAGCAGCAACCTAAAACCTTATTCATTCCCACTCTTATATATTCCCTTGATGTTTGTTATCATAACTCAGCTATAACTACCGTCTTCAAAAACAAACTTTTAAAATCATTTATAAGAATTACAATGTTCTGTTATATTTACTGCACTTGTAAATCTAGACTGAAAATTGTCACCTTACTTCTTCTGGCTCTTTCTTTCGATTCTAGTACAAAAGAAAGAGCAGACGATTCCAGTAGAATAAAAGGCCAATAAAATGGGCAGTATACTTTTACTGGTAGAAGCAGAGATAAAAAGAAACATCACACAATACTCTCTTTTGTATTGCATAAATTCTCACTGCTATACTTAAAAATATATATGATTCTGTGCATTAAAACATAATAATATTAAACATACGAAAAACATGGCATTTTATTGAAGTACTGTTTTAATATTTATCTAAATTTATTACGTCAGGTCGTTCCTTGAAGAGACTAGGATTGATTTCGGACCACATGGAAACCCCCGGGAGTTGGTAACACTTGCGTACAGTATTGTAGTCGGGTAATCCATTATCTCGACCTCTCATAATATTCAAGGATCCTAGGTCACGACGGCTGAAGTCAACGGGTCCAAACAATTTGTCTAATAAATAGAAGGAAAGATTTAGGACGAATTTTACTTTGTTTTTCTTATTTTGGCGAGACTAAGGCTTCATTATTTTTTTTTATTTTTTTCCCTTTTATCTGGAATAAAGGGACTTATTTATAGAATTATCCTAAACAACCTAAAGGAGTAATTCCAATATGCCCTATGGCCTTTAAACCCTCTGAACTATTCATTTATGTTAGTCCTAATACAATAAAAAATCTGTTTTTATAAGTTCAATGACGGGAACATTCAACATTAAGGCTGAGCTTAGAAGTTGGGTTTCTATAAAGTTTGAAAGTTTGAAAAGTTTGAAATTTATTAACATGACTATGATTTGGAAACAAAATGAACACTAGTAATAAATATTCTATAATAAATATTCTAGAAGTTAAATCTACTTGTGATTTCTGTAAATAAAAAAATAATGAATCATGACTTGTAGACATTTTTCTGCAGAGGTTGAAAATGGAGTTACGCATTGAGAAGTGATTTTAAAAAACATCGGTTTATTGTAACTACTTATTGTATTCCACTATTAAATGGAGTTACGCATTGAGAAGTGATTTTAAAAAACATCGGTTTATTGTAACTACTTATTGTATTCCACTATTAAATGGAGTTACGCATTGAGAAGTGATTTTAAAAAACATCGGTTTATTGTAACTACTTATTGTATTCCACTATTAAATGGAGTTACGCATTGAGAAGTGATTTTAAAAAACATCGGTTTATTGTAACTACTTATTGTATTCCACTATTATTTTTCTAAATTGTTGCTTAATGTGCCTAACGCAACATTGTGTACAAGAGTCCTATAATTGTCTTGAATATTAGCCTTAGAATTATTTCAAAAATATTAACTGCAACTGTTAAATACTCAGTATGTTTGGTGTAACATTCAGTATTCACATATCACCATCTTATTTCCAAAAAGTTGCTTGTTCCAATATATATATATATATACACATATTTCAGTCATTCTATATGACGTATGCATTCAACAATTAAGCATCCTGACCGAACGATAACGTGAAACACCACCAATTCTCATTCATACTTAACTGCGATAAAAATCCTTTTAAAAAAAGCATCGAAATTTTTTACCATAGTTTGTTCAGTTTCTGGCGTCTTATGTACGTTTTTGGTGTAAGTTACATGGTGTTCTTAAAAAAATAAAATACTCTCGACTTACATAACAAAAGTTGACATTACAAGCAAAAGACGACACTTTTAAAACAATTCTTTACTAACAAAGGAGGAAAAATGCCGTAAATTTTCATTGAATGACAACTATTCCTAGCACTCACACTTATAACTACAAGACAAACCATAAACATGACTTTTGGTGGTGTTCTTCATGAACAAGACAGTACAAATCTTCTTTATGCCCCCCCAGTGACACAGCGGTATGTCTGAGGACTTACAACGCTACAATCCGGGGTTCGATACGCGTGGTGGGCAGAGCACAGATAGCCCATTGTATAGCTTTGTGCTTAATTACAAACAAACAAAACTTCTTTATGTAAATGACCTAGAATTTTTTTTGTAATTTAATTTTGTATTTAAATGTCAAGTTTGGATGAGATTGTTATAAATAAACTAATAAAAAGGGATTTATTATTTTTGTTAACTGCGAACTCTAGCGAGTAAATTATACACCATATATTCATGCATCAACTAGAAAATTGCTCGGTAAGTAAATACCTTTTTCATTGCATAACGATGATCCCAAGCAAACAAAAATCACATAAACTACAAATTCTGCACGGAACCTTGTTATTCTTATTTAGTTATTTAATTAAATCAAACCCTATATTTACTGTTAGATGTTAAAACGTGTTAAAGTTTGGTGTGATTATTCTTAAGCACAAAGCTACACAGTGAGCTGTCTATACTCTGCCCACCACGGGTATCGTAAACCAGATTTTTAGCATCGTAAGCCTCCTGATTTACCGCCGAGCTATTGGGGGCGTTTCATAGTGGTTTTGCTATTATTACGTAAGTTATTTTATTTGTTTGTTTGTTTGAAGTTAAGCACAAAGCAACACAATGGGCTATCTGTGCTCTGCCCACCACGGGTATCGAAACCAGATTTT